ACGCTTTTGTAGCGCTGAATAATTGATGGAGGAGCTTTACTACATACTTCTCTGTGTGTGTGTGTGTGTGTGTGTGTGTGTGTGTGTGTGTGTGTTTGTTTCTGACTCGCTGTATTTTACACTTTATTACTGGAGAAAACCCTTTAAAAGGCTTTAGACTGTATTCACTCAGTTTAACACACACACACACACACACACACACACACACACACACACACACAAACATATGCATGCACACACACATACATTGAGTGTATTTGAGTTTAGAGTAAAACAGTGAGTGTGTTTGATGTCAGAGTGAATCACTAAGTGAATCAGGCATTGAATCAGTGAGTGTGTTTGATGTCAGAGTGAATCAGTGGGTGAATCAGTGGGTGAATCAAAGAGGTTTTTTTGATGTCAGAGTGAATCAGTGGGTGAATCAGTCAGTGAATCAGAGAGGGTTTCTTGATGTCAGAGTGAATCAGTTAGTGTATTTCAGGTCAGAACAAATCATTGGGGGAATCATTGAGTTTGTTTATTGTCAGAGTGAATCAGATAGTTTAGACTGAATCTGTGAATTTGTTTGGTTCGTGTCAGAGTGAATCAGTGAATGTGTTTTATACCCGAATGAATCAGTGAGTGAATCAGTGATTGTGTTAAATGCCAGAGGGAATCAGTGGGTGTATTTTAGGCCAGAGTGAATTACTGAGTTTGTTTGAGATGAGACTGAATATGTAAATGAATCAGTGAGTGTGCTTTATGTCAGAGTGAATCAGCGAGTGAATCAGTGAGTGAATTAGTGATTCTTGATGCAGCGTTTGACCTGTGTGTGTGTGTGTGTGTGTGTGTGTGTGTGTGTGTGTGTGTGTGTGTGTGTGTGTTTCAGATGCTGTACGCTGCCAGCCCGTACTCAGACCCAGTGGTGTTCGCAGACATCGACCCGCAGCCCATCATTGATGAAGAGGAGGGTCTGATCTGGGTTGTTGGACCGGTTCTGGCCGTCATTTTCATCATCTGCATCGTTATCGCCATCCTGCTGTACAAGAGGTAGAAACCGTGGAGAAACACACACATAGACAATCCAGATGCTAATATAAACTTAAAGTAAACTGAATAAAGATTCAGCCAGATGCTTCAGACAGTCTCTAATATAAACATACAGTGGGGAATTATTAGCTGAGGTACTACTACTACTACTATTATTATTATTATTATTATTATTATTATTATTTATTATTTTTATATTATTATTATTATTATTATTATTATTTATTATTATTATTATTATTATTATTTTTATATTATTATTATTATTATTATTATTATTATTATTAATATTTTTTGTTGTTGTTGTTGTTGTTGTTGTTATTATTATTATTATTATTATGTCTATTTTATTGTTATTATTATTTATTATTATTTTTATAGTATTATTATTTATTATTGTTTTTATTATTATTATTATTATTATTATTATTATTATTATTATTATTATTATTATTATTATTATTATTATTATTTATTGTTATTACTGTTATTATTATTATTATTATTATTATTGTTATTATCATTACTATTGGTAGTAGTAGTAGTAGTCATTACTAAGTTTTAATAACATTTTAGGCTTAGTATTTAGGATGTAATTATTATGCTTTAATTAAAGACATGAGTTCTAATTATTGTGCTTTTTGTGCACTAAAAATGATCATTACAGAAAAAATTTAATTAAATATTATTATTATTTTCTTAAGTATTAAGTTTTAATGAAATTAAGTTGATAATATAATTATTTAACTTACTTATTTAAATAAATTTAAGCAAAAAAAGGTCAAAATGTTGTGATTTTTTTGTGGTTATTAAATTCTAACAGATTTTTCTTTGTAGTGTGTTGTAAATTATAAAACATTTATTTATAGAGCACCTGTTGGTTGTAAAGTAAATAATTAAAATAATGCATAATTGTAAGTCCCACATCATGCATATATAATACACAGGAATACTGGAATAAAAAATAAAGACCAATATATTAAATGTACACTCACTGGCCACTTTATTAGGTACACCTGCAGCTTAATGCATTTCGGCATGTAGACATGGTCAAGAGGATCTGCTGCAGTTCAGAGCGAGCATCAGAATGGGGAAGAAAGGGGATTTAAGAGAGTCTGAACGTGGCATGGTTGTTGCTGCCAGACGGGCTGCTCTGAGTATTTCAGAAACTGCTGATCTACTGGGATTTTCACGCACAACCATCTCTAGGCTTTACAGAGAATTCTCCGACAAAGAGGAAATATCCAGTGAGCGGCAGTTCTGTGGGCGCAAATGCCTTGTTGATGAGGTCAGAGGTCAGAGGAGAATGGCCAGACTGGTTCCAGCTGATAGATGATCTGATGATGAACTGATCCCTTTATGAGCACAGTGTCTCCATCTTCTGATGGCTACTTCCAGCAGGATAACGCAGCATGTCATAAAGCTCAATCATCTCATACTGGTTTCTTGAACATGACGATGAGTTCACTGTACTCAATAGGCCTCCACAGTCACCAGAGCTCAATCCAATAGAGCAGCTTTGGGATGTGGTGGAACAGGAGATTGACATCATGGATGTGCAGCCGACAAATCTGCAGCAACTGTGTGATGCTATCATGACAATATGGAGCAAAATCTCTGAGGAATATTTCCAGCAGCTTGTTGAATCTCTACAATGAAGGATTAAAACAGTTCTGAAGGCAAAAGTGGTCCGACCCGGTATCAGTAAAGTGTACCTAATAAAGTGGCCGGTGAGTGTATATATCTACAATAATCAGCTTTTTTTAACATTATTATCATGTAAGCAAAGTCCAATAACTAGTCTCGCTCCTAATAATGACTGATTTAACCACGGATTTCCTGATGATTCAGACACAATGAGAGCTGAGCGATGTGTTGAGACAGAAAA